GCGCAGAATAGGTCTCTAATATTTGCTCCTTTTCCAGCCCAGAATTCCAGCTGCCGGCATTCTCCCTCCTTATGTAAACCTTGTAAAATAAGAGAGAATAGACATGAGTATTGTGACATAAAGTGAAATAACAGTCCATAATGCGATAAATATCGATATAAAAGCATGATGCAAAATGGACGTATCAACCCCTCTGTTCTAGCTTTATCTAAAATGATGGCAAGGGCATCAACAGCAAGGTCAAACAGCAGGGGAGAAAGGGAATCACCCTGTGTGAGCCCTTTAAATGTTTTGAAGTAAGGACCTATGTCATCATTTACTTTGACTCCAACATGTCCCCCCCCCCCCTCATTTTATGCATAACCCAGTCACACCATTTATCAGGGAATTTTTTTAATTTAAGCATCTTATGGACAAAAGGCCATTTGATTTTATCATATGCTTTTTCAAAATCCACTTTGAATAGCATAGCACTTTGTTTTTTAGTGTGAATAGAATTAAGAGCCTCATGCAGTATCACAACACCTTCCATACCTTTCACAAAGGCGGTTTGAATGGGAGAAATAATTAGATTAACTACCTTGCTCAATCTGTTCATCAGCACTTTAGTAACAATCTTGAAACTGGCATTCAAGAGACAAATTGGCCTAAATTTTTGAATCTGTCTAGCATCTTTAACCTTTGGTACTAATGTAATAATCCCATAATTCAATCATGCCAGGTCAACTTTACCACTGTGGAAATCATCTAAAATAGTATTTAAATCTGTCTTAAGCAGCTCCCAAAAGTGCTGGTAGAAATCCACAACAAATCCATCAAGGCCTGGACTTTTGTTTTTCTCCATGTTGAAGATCACATCCCTGATTTCTTCTAGACTAAAAGGTTTAATCAAATCATATTCTTCCTTTTGAATGTCCAAATTAATAGTGGACTTGTCAGCTTGTCCAAAAAAGGTTTTGTAATAGGTAGTAACATGTTCCATGAGTTTAGAGTCACCCTCAATGAGTTCCCCTCATGTTCTAGAGCAGTTATCCTATTCTTCCTTCTTCTGCCATTAACTTTGGCTTGGTAGTACCTAGTATTAGAGTCTCCCTCCTTTATCTCTCTATCTTTATATCTTTGCAGCCATTTAATTTCCTCCATTTTCGGGATATCTTTCAGTTCTTTCCTCCAACCTTTCTGAATCTCCCTATCTTGAGCACTAAGACCATTATTTTCAGCTTTTTTTGTCAATCTCATCTAATAGCTCCAACAATTCTTTTTTTATTTTTCTATAAGCAGCATTTGCATTGATAATTCAACCTCTGATTTTCTGTCTGATGTTTCTCATTTTAGTTTGCCACCTGTCTAAGCCAGATCCTTTACATTTAATATTCTAATTTTTTTCCACAAAATCTTTAAACCCTTCCATAAGCATCCAAGCATTTTCAAATCTGAAAATGGGCTGGTTTTTTTTGTGATTACCAGTGTCTAACAATAGAGGGGTGTGGTCAGATATCTCCCTTTCCATGGCATTCATCATAGCTAGGGGGTATTTGTCTTTCCAATCAAGGCAGATTAAAATTCTGTCAAATTTCTCATATGTGGGTTCAGGCAGATTGTTTGCCCAGGTGTACTTCCTCCCATTCAAAGGGAGGTCTCTGAGCCCAGCATGTTCAATAATAGCATTAAAAACAAAGCTAAAATGATCCGGTCCTTCAGGTTTGTTCTTTTCTGAACTATTTCTGATAAGATTAAAGTCCCCTTCCAATTGGCCTGTAATATGCCCGTCCATGTAGCATTTCTGGTGTGCTGACTCTATTATTTTGAAAATAGTTTGCTGGCTTTGGTGACGTGGCTCGGATCCTGGGCCAAGATTCGTGTGAACGAATCCGACGGGAGAGAGCGTGTTCGCTCGGGTTGGCCTCCCCAGGATATTGGTCGTCATATAGCATTTCCGTATAGAAAAGATAAAGGCTAGGTTCATTGCAATGAGGATAATCAAGAGAGGATAACGATCCATACAGCGCCAATCAGGCATACATGCACATAACCTAATTGGAGAACTTGAAGAGCACGTCGTGCTTGTACACCTGGCCGGGCCTCACGATCGACGACGGGAACTCCGGGTGGTTGACGGCGTCGGGGTACGCCTGCGTCTCCAGGCACAGCGCGCCGTACTGCTCGTACACCTTCCCGGCCTTGCCCTTCTCGTTGCTGACCCAGTTGGAGGTGTAGAGCTGCACCCCGGGCTGGTTCGCCCACAGCTCCAGCGCCCGCCCCGACTCCGGGTCCCGGACGAACGCGACCTTCCGCATCGCGTCCTGCTTCCCGTCCACGACGAAGTTTATGTCGTACCCGCCGCCGCCGCCGGCGACGACCTCCATGTGCGCGCCCACGGGCGTCGGCGCGCGGAAGTCGTACATGGTGCCGGCCACGGGCGCCACCTGGCCCGTCGGGATCTTGGTGTCGTCGAGCGGCGTGTAGCGCGACGCGAGCAGCTGGAGCTCGTGCTCCAGGACGTCGCCGCTGCCGTGGCCGGCGAGGTTCCAGTACGCGTGGTTCGCGAGGTTCACCGGCGTCGCCTTGGTCGCCGCCGTGGCGTTCATGCGGATGCTGAGCTCGTAGGGGCCGGAGAGCTGGTACGTCACGTACACGTCCAGGTCGCCCGGGAATCCTGCGTGCGTGCGTGCCCCAAACGTGGTCCGCGGAAACAAGTGCAAGTCAGCTCTACAGTACGTACACGAGTGATTTTCTAACACAGAGAATATGCTACTGTATTGCAATTTGCAAATTTGACTTCTTGGATAAGGTGTAGTAGTATTTTACACCGAGTTGTCATGAATATAGATCAACTGACGTGCAAGAAAATAGTACTATAGAACTTTGGACATGTGGCCGCCTCTCACACACGTCCATGTCACCGACTGTTTTACCTTGCTCTCCGTCGAAGCTGTGGTAGAAGAAGGTGATGTACGGGGTGTCACCGCCGCGCACGTACTCCTTGACGGTCCATATGACCTTGCCGAACCCCCTGTGCCCGCCTAAACACACAGAGATCCACAAGATGATTAGCGCATGTTCACTCACTCCCATTATAAATAAAGGAAGTAAAAAAGAAGTGTCAAGCATACCGTGAATGGAGTTATTGCCGTCGTTACGGAAGAGACGGTAGGCTTTCCCGTCGAGCACGAAGCGGGATTTGGCGATTCTGTTCACCACGCGCCCGACCGTGGCCCCGAATGAGCCGGTGCCATTCTGATTGGAAACATTGCACAAAACCATAATGAACAGATGCTTATTTATATGGATTCATCATGAAAAATAGCTAAAGAACCCTTGCATTTGGTAGCAGAGTTCTGTACCGCATATTACAGTTTCTCTCGTTATTACAGTTGCTATCCCTGCATTGTTTTATTTATCCTTTTAGCTGTGCGTGTTTATATGTCAAGCAATAAACATAAGCGCGATGTTTCGGCGGTAATAACACATGGTCAACGGTGCAACAACAAGAAAAAACAGTGCAACAATGCATAGGTATATCTGCCGCTCTGAAACGGCGAAAACTTAAAAAAAACACAGAGGAATTCGTGATCTTACAACATATCCACGAAGGGTGTCGTACCCGAGGACAACATCAGCCAAGTTTCCTACAAGAAAACGTATGACCTACTAAGCAACAAGAACAACAACAAAAAAGTTGCAAACATATGCATATGGGTACTTGCAAGCAAGAAAAACCCAGCCATGACCATACCTTGGCCATCAGGGACGAGGACGGAGACGAGGGTGGCTCCCCAGTTGGTGACCTTGATGGAGAAATCCCCCTTCTTGTTCTTGAGCCCGTAGAAACCGACCGGCTTCCGCTCGGCATTGGCGCCGGCGGCCAGCGCAAGGCACAGCAGCAGCGCGACAGGAAGCAGTGCAGCTCTAGCCATTGTGGGGCAGCACTACCACCAGCAGATGAGATGAGCCTGCTGGTTTGCGCGTTTCAAAGAGCAGAGGAGGTGTGGCTACTGTTGATTGAGCATGTAGTCGCCTATGTATAGTAAGGAGATGCTGAGCTGAGTTCCACTCTGCCAGCTCCTACTTGGGGAAGTCAAAACTCTTGATCAAGTTCCTCTGATCCACGTTCATTCTGTGTGGAGATCTGAGATCTTTTAAAGTAAAAATCATGGAGATCTGAGATCTGCCAATAGTTTATGGCGGCTAATCCCAAATGGCTCGCTTCATCTCCCGTTAGTTTAGGGCGGCTAGTCTCGAACTCATCTAGTTTTCTCCTTGTATGCCCATTCTCCCATTAGTTTAGGGCGGCTAGTCTCAATCTCATCTAGTTTTCTCCTTGTATGCCCATTCGTCCAGTCTTTGGTACACGTCTTTTCTGAGAGGCAAAGTATTTCCTTCAGGCAAAATCTATTAACCCAAACAAAGATTAGCAGTAGCAGGTATCGAGTTCAATCAGGCTGAGAGACATCGAAGTGGTTTCTGCTTCCAAACAAAAAGAAACATCTGCATGGAGTGCGTAGACAAAAAAAGTTCCACAACAAAAAAGTTGATGTTGGGATCAAGAGTAATATAACATGTCGATTTCGACACCCCAAGACGCATGACTAATAAGAAAGTAAGAAGCGAGATAACATTTCATCGTTACAGAACTGCAAAGGACTAGTACCTGGACGTCCCAAGATTTCAAAAAAATAATAATCAGACATTCTAAGCCAAAATTCAATTTTACAAAACCCTGCCTAGCTGCGGCGCACCGAATTTCTTAGGAGTAATAATCCACAAGCAAATAAGAAACAATATATCAAATACACACGGCTTATTGGCAGTAACTACGACTGACTGGACCGGCATGTTGAATGCAGATCAGAAGAATTGCCGGACAACATGTACAATGGACTGACTAAACATCCATGAAATGTTTATCAAGCAAAGAGAGGAAGCATAAAATTCAATAGGCAACACGGTGCCTTTTATGTACAACCAAACTGACATAATTTGCAGGCGGAGAAAACACTTCAGAGCTTATCTATATTGGCGTTCCTGAAGCTGCCACCGAGGAGTGACAGTAGGCCGCCACCGTGCACCCTTCCCTCAGGAACAGGACAGCCTGCTTCTCTGCCCCCATGCACAGTAGGCTCCGACGATGACGAGGGCATCATGGAGCGAGGCACAAGCAGCTGCGGAGGTATCATCGCTTGGCTCCTCACTGTGCCGTCACTATCTGATGCTGTGCTGATGCCTGATGAAGAGTGCTCATTTGTCATGCTACTTGCAGCGGTGGTTGATGATGCCACAATGCCACTGAAGAGGCCTGGTCCGATCATGCTCCCTCCACTCTTCACCATTCCATGTTCTTGCTGCCTGGCCACCAAGGTTCCATGTGCGGCACACAGGCCACTCTTGCCACGGGCGAACTTCTCACAACCGGATCCCCATGTGCAACGTTTGCCTCCACCATGGGCTTTGCAGAAGTCTGTACTACCTTGAGCACTCTTGCCACAATTGTCAATCCTGCAACGCTTACCACCACCGTGCTTCACACAACAGTCAGTGCGGCCGCGGGCACTCTTGGTGCAGCCAGGCGCTGCACAGCGCTTCCCACCTCCATGTGCCACACAGAATTCAGTCCCCCCATGTACACTCTTTGGGCAGACACCACCTCCTTCGAACATGCATCTCTTCCCACCACCATGAGCTTTGCACAGAGGTGTGCTCCCCTCTGCACCTCTGCTGCACCCATCGAAGACGCACCTCTTGCCGCCACCATGCGCTTTGCAGTATAATGTACTGCCCTGAGCCCCCTTGGCACAGTCCGGATACTGGCACCGGCGTCCACCACCATGAGAAATGCAGAGTCCAGCCTTCCCCTCAGCACTCCGAATGCAACCTTCCTTTGCACACCTCTTCCCACCACCATGCTTTATGCACCGTCCAGACTTACCTCGTGCAGCTTTAGGACAATCAGGATATTCACAACGGCGGCCTCCACCATGAGCAATACAATAATCTGTCTTTCCCTCGGCACTCTTGGTGCAACCAAGCTCCTCACACCGCCGTCCTCCGCCATGGGCCTTGCAATACGCAGTGCTGCTCTCAGCTCCTTTATGGCACCCAGGCTTATGGCATCTTTGCCCGCCTCCATGAGCAATACACAGCCCTGATGAGCCTCTGCCACCTTTGGAGCACCCCTTGAACCTGCACTTCTTAGGATGACGGGGATGACTCCGTTGTTCTGATGTGGTTGCTCCAGTGACCACATCAGAGCTCACACCAAACGAAGTCTCTGTCGTAGCAGAAGGTTCAGGGCTGAGCTGAAGATGTTGAATATGCTGAGTATTATTGCTGTTGTAGTGTGTGGAGTTTAGTGAATCTCTGCTTTGTAATTGTGTCTCATTGGCAGCAGAAGAACTGGAGCGGGGAGCAAAGAGTAGCGATGGCATGTAGCCACCCATGCTCCTTACAGCAGCAGATGTTGAAGCCTCGTCAACAACAGCAAAAGAATGAACTGTTTCATTTGGTGTTTGCAGAGGCTGAATTGTTTCTGCACCATCTGTCTGCAGGCCAAGCCTCAGCACCCCTGGGTCAGTGAAAGAGAAACTCTGGCCAGACAAAGTCTGAGATTCTTTTGACTTATATACACCAGTGGGCTGATAATGTGTCGAGTAAAAATCAGGTGTTGGACCCAACCCTAGAACAAGCTTGCAACCATCATCTCTCGTTGTGATGTTATTCATGCTTTGTGTACTTTCATCACCATGGCCACAATTAGCCATTGCTGAGCCGACGCAATCCATGCGAACTGCGCTTTTGGTCAGGTTGTTCAGGGCGTAGCTTGGAGCTGATTGTGCCATTAAGACAAAGGGGTCATTCATCAGAGGTTGGTTTGTGGTATCCACAAAGCTGTTATCCATCACAGCTTAACACTATGACAGCTGGGCCAGAGCAAATAATATCAGGATTACTGGGGAGCTGAAGAAACAGGGGCTGGATAATCTTTCAGACACTGATGGTCGAATAGACAAAATGGAAGAAAATCAGCAGGAGCGTAGTACCAAAGCAACCACCACTGACAAACCCTGAGGTGTCTGCACGGTCCATAACTGTGTTGTTTCTGGTGAGAATTTATGATCCAAAGCTAACCAGCCTCCTCAACACTAAACAACATCTCTTGCAGTTGACATCAAGCATAGGCAGGACTGATAAAATGAATTGTGTTGGCCAATCTTCGAACTACAAAAATAACACAATATGTCAGCTCAAATTCAGATAATAAACATTTGTTTGGCATGAACTGAACCAGTTGTATGCCAAAAGACGAATTTGTGTATCTTTCCAACAAAGGAAAGGGGCATAACAGAAATGCCTCCAATAACCGAGAGCAGGAACATGCGCAAATGATAGCCCTAAGTCCTAACATTTCAACATAACCTTTTGACCCACTGATACCCCCGCAGATGCTAAGTTTGCAAGCTTGAGTGAAATAAGTGGTTTTTAGTTTAACTACCTCTGTCGCTATCAGGTATGATGATTCATGATTACATGCAGACCATGTTACGGTACATCCACCAAAGTCAGCTAGCACCAGTTACAATGCAATCCAAACACATTCCACTAGCAACAGGGAAGAACCCCCAGGGGAATGTGATGGACACCATCATCCATTTATGTCATGTCAGATTGCTCATGGAGGCGTTACAACACAATCTAAACTCAAGATGAACTAACAAACAAGCAACCGTGACCATAAACCCATGTTGTTCTCTTCTGAATAAATAAGCAAAACTCTGGATTAAAAAAATGAAACCACTGTCAAACATGTCCCTTTTTCTCGCAATTTTTTGGTATTATAGGCACAAGTACTATGAAATTTTAACATATTTGAAGGGCGTTAACAACAGAACCTCCCCATAATTAACCGTGCATTCGATCAGATGTTAAACTGTACTTCCTCCGTCGCAAATAGCCTACCAAAAACGTCTTATAATTTGGGACAGGGCTAGTAGCTCACACTGGATGGCAATAAAGATGACAAATCGTTCAAAATACAGGTGCAAGGGTAGACTAGTTGACTTCAAACTTGCAGCTTGTACAGAAACTGAGAGACAACTAGTCTGGACAAGATTGCTTAATGAAGAGCACGCTGTACCTCCCTTGGATTTAACCATGCCGTTTCCCCACACGGAAACGGACAGCAACTTTTGTTGCACGGCAAGACGAAATTTACTGAGAAAGATGTAGGTAGGATACGACGCATGCATAGCCTGTGACAGTCTATCCAGTCAAATGGAAAGGACATGGGCAGAGAGAAGAAAGAACATGAGGAATGAAAAAAAAGAAAGAGAACATAGAGTAGGACGATGCCTTTTATCCAGGGATACTACAGGGTTCAGAGCCCCCGGCCATGCCATACCATACCATCTCAATTCAGAAGTCAGAAGACCCAAATCGAGAACCTCAGACACTCCAAAAACGGAAATCCCCTCCTCGATCTTCGCCCCCGCAAAAACCTGGAATTCTCCCGGTGGCTGGCTAGAACAGATCTGGTCGCGGCTGTTCCCATCGGTAAAAGTCCCGGCAGAGAGAGAGCAAATGGCACGCATGAATTCCCCCCCGAATCAACCGACGCGCGAGAAGAGAATTGGGACCAACAACGGCCCGTTCCTTCCTCGGAGCCCCCGAAAGCCGTGACGGCGTGCAAAAGGAGGGAGGACGGAAAAGGACAAGAGGAGTGCGTGCGGCAGCGTATCTACTCCTATGTATGTATCTCCGCGAGAGGGGGGAGGAGGGAGGCGAGAGGCAACGGTCACCTGGCGCGCGCACGGCGGAGGGGGCGGCGGGAGAGGAGGC